TTCCTGCTGCAGGAAAAGAGGATTCCCGTAAGAGCCTGGGAATTCCCAGCATGGAATTCCCAATTCAGGAAATTCATGTGTCTTGCAAAATGCTAAGCTGGGGATTCTTAATTTAAAAAAAAAATAAATAAAAAGGGGGGGGACAGGACAACACACGGACGGAGAGACGGATGCGTAAAGAAAGTTAAATATCTATCCTGTGTCCCTTGTGTTTAGTAATATTTTCATTGCTTCAGGGCAGAAAATCAACAACTCCCTCCTGCTAGCACTAACAGCATATATATACTTACATATATTTACATGCACGTATATATACACACACACAATTTTTTTTTCCCCCTGCCAAGGCATTTGTGACACAAAACCAAGCTATTTGTTGAGTTTCAGCTGTGGACTTGTACCCAGCTGAGAATTTTCCTTTCAAAGCCAGTTTCATTTGAATTGTGCTTCCTTATTAGTTTTTTTACAATTCAAATGAAAAGCAGCACACATCCTTCAGCACGCTTTATTCTACAGGTGACATTAAAAAAAAAAAAAACCACGAACCAAAACCCCCCAAAAAAACCCAACGACAAACCTGTGACCCGTAGTTTCAGTTACACCAAGGAGAAATTTGTGTGGAACATATAATGAAAATGCAGATATATGGATCACATTTCTTACCATGTCCCCAGGCTTGACAGAAACTGCCACCACTGCTCCAGGCATGGGAGATCTCAAAATGCTGGAGGTGTCCTCTGCTGCTTTCTCTGGCATGTACTTGCTCAGCTCTGCAGCAACCTTCGTCAGTATTTGTAATTTGTACTAAAAAATAGGAAAAGGAATGTTTCAGAAAACTGCACCTCGGTAAATTGCAGTCAGTAATCCGCACTATTTTATGGCACGTTTTTTAATACAATACATCTGTTAGCTATTCTTCACAGGAGCGTCTAAAAATTCACTGTTTGAAATCGTTATTCTGAGTTTCATTTTCAGGATGGAGAAAGAAAAATATGCACCTCCAACCTGCAGCAATGAGCACGTAAAAGGAAAGAATCGAGTACAGTGAAGAAATGTCAGACTCATTTAAAAACTGGGGGTAGGGAGGGGAGATGATACAAATTTAAAACGCAGAAATGTCCTTATGCTTACTGCACATTACCTGATAAGGAATATTGAGGGATTCGTTCCCAGTGCTGTGCTGAATTAGGAATTGACCTTTTGGGAAAGCCTTGCCAGAATTTCAATGACATGACTGATTTTAAACATCATGTTTACTTTTTAAACGTGTCTTTTCATCATGTATTTAAAGTTAATGCCTTGCTTAGCTTTTTCAATTCAAACATATTAAACAATTTCAATTCTATTTTTTCAAGTACAGGCAGAATGACGGAACGTTGTGGTCGTACGGAACGTACTTTATCTGTAACAAAAACTGCTCAGCAGCTGGTATCTACCTTGAGAAAAAAAGGTGATTTTCTCGACTATGTTTTATAGCGCTTAGAAATGGAAGAGACGATGAGGACCCTCGCGTGCCTGAGAGCATCCCCTTAACCGAGGGAAAACCTGTATGTGGGTACCCTCCTTTCAGCTCCAGGCTTTTTGGTTTTAAAAACTTGGCCTCCCTTTGGCAGATGGCCGTCCCATTTGTCCCAGGGCACCTGAGAAGGAAGGACAAAATGCCGGTAGATGGCAGCAGGCCTCTGCCTGAAACTCCAGCCTCCCCAAGGCCAACCCAGCGAAGCCCAGCACTGCTCTTCATCGATAATTTAAACAAAGGTTTTAATAAGAAGCATCGGATGAACTGCATTTACAATTCAAATGTGTATTTTGCTGATGTAAAGTTCAACACCTTGCTTTGAACAGTATGTTTTCCTCCAAAACAATTAGCTATTGTTTTATTAACAATAAAACGTCTTTACTTTTCATTTTTACCCAGACAGAAAAAATCCGATATCCTTATGGTGAAGGTAAAGGGGGCCTCTACCTTCTGCTTCTGTAGCGAGTTGAACAAGGAATTGAGAAATACACGCGAAAGGTGATTAACTCGGCAATGACATCTTTCAAAAGCAGCTTTCCAAGCCAAATTACAACAAGGCAACAGAGGATTACCGTCCTCCAGAAAGGCCGTTTGGACACGCAAGATTACGTGCAACCAAGAGTGCAGCTAGAAATACTTGCTTCTAAGCAGAAATACAAGCAAACGGTTAAACGAACCCACTCACCCCCCACACACACACACCCTAGTAAACGTACTAAAACGCCACAACAACATTCCCTGATGCTGGAAGCGGCCCCCCAAAGGTTGGAGAACCCATTCCCAAACACGCGCCTTGGTTACAACGGAGATGGCACAGGGCAACTGGCGCCATTTTGTACGCCCAAACCCGCTTTAACTCCAAGGGTCCTGCAGGCACCATCCTGCCAATTATGACTACGGCACTCCCATTTTCCTACCCAAAATACAGCTAGTTCTCTCCCGTTCAACACTCCTTGCAGTTGCTTTTTCTAAAAGTCAAGCGTGGGTGTGCATATGGACACTTGCACGTGCGCGCACTTGCAGGTACGCTGTGGGGAGAGGGGAGGCCGTGCCTATAGGAGATTTGAGGACATAAGTTGCAAACAGAATTGCAGCAGCTTTGACAAGTCAAATAATAACATCTTACACATGTTTCTTTACTCTCGAGTGTCTGTTTTGCAATCAAGACATACAAGTGTCTGCCAGTTTCTGAAGGATATGATCCTTAAGTGAAATTACTGTGCAAATAAAAGCTTTTTACTCCTATTAAAATTCATCTGAGTCATAAGTGGCAAGGAAAAAAAGCTTGCAGAGTGTATTCTGCTGTCAATCTAATAAACATTCTGCGCAGAGGGACTATTTATCAAAGATAAATTGTACTTAAAAGTCCTTCATTAAATCTATGGGGGGGAATATAATTACACCAAATTGCACAGTTTCGGTATCCATGCTTAGTGTCTTCTTTGTACTCTGAGTTTAAAAATTTAAAAAAGAAAAAAAAAAGAAAAAAAAAGGAAGAACACAGAAATAAGTTAGATTTGTGGACTGTTACTGTTGTGCAAGAGACTATTTTGATACGATTTCAAAGGATTAGGTTTAGGTGCCATTTCGGTTTTTTAAGCCACATATAGCACTTCCGAGCTGCCCGATTTCAAAATTTAAACTTGAAATGAAAGCTAGACCTTCTGCATCCATCGAGGTTAGAGTATTTCGCAGGGACCGAAACACAGCATTCCCCATGTACCCCACAACGTACAGCAGTGGGGGGGGGTGGAAATCACGCTCCTCAGTATGCTGCACTTTAAAGCTCAGTTCTCCACACCAAATTAAAATATCCCTACCAAACATTGTTTTTACTATCTTTATAATTTTCATATCTTTTAGATTCCTTTCTCTGCAGGACTCCTGCTTTGCTTGGAGTGAGATGTAAGAGTCAGTACACTCAAAGCTTTAAAACGCAGGTCTTTGTTATTGATGAGCTGTTCCCTTTCCTTTTGTATTTGTTTATTGTTCTTCAGTCTGTTTGGGGGATAAGCAAGTTACTGTAATCAAAAAGTAAAAAATAACAACAGTAAACTTCTGGGGAAAGGCCTTTTTTGGCACAGTTGGTTCACAAATGACCTTTCGGAATATAAAAAGACAAAGCCGCAAAGAAAGGTTCCTTCTTTAAGATTACCTTTGATGTATTTCTGCTGCTGGCTGGACCCCACCAAATACCTGCCTCAGTGTCCCTCTGGAAGGCTGTTTCTTATCTCTCAGGGGGGGCTGATTTGGGCAGGGGAGGTGTGCAGGGGGCTCCGCCAGAGCCACAAGACTTTCTGGAAGACCACCTCCAACAAGGCCTGCCAGTGCTGCTACAACAAAGACAATTAAGAATATACCACGTCTTCTTTTCCTTACACCTACGCCTTTGCTTTAGCGAGGACAACGCGGAACACACGGAGCAGAAGTTTTGAAGCGCTACTAAGAGAGTACGGATGGGGTTCGGGTTTTCTTCCTTTATCCTCAGGAGGAGGAGGAGGAGATGGGAGAAAGAAGGGGGGTAAATTGGCGAAGGCTGTAAAGTTTGGGTTATAAATAGAGCCCGGAAGGTTTCCGCTGGCCTAAACCAGAAGAAACATCTGTCAGAGTCATAAATAGATTAGGGGTGGACTCTCAGAGCAAGGAGCTCTGCGCTGATGAGTAGTGGTCACCAGTCGCTACTCCGCTCCGCAGGGTCTCAGAGCCTAATTCTGCCAGCCAAAGTCAAGCCAATGAAGAGGTACGTGAAAGGAGCCGTACAGCTTTTGATGGCGTAGAACATAAGTGTTTCTTTTCCGCAAGACTGTTGGAATCCACAATCAGTTGACAAAAATGATAGAAGGGAAAAGTGATGTTACTTAATGGTGTTCCAAGGGTAACAGTATCCTCTCCTACCTCTCCCACTAAATGAACTGGATGTTTACATCATGGAAAAGTACCTCTTACACGAAATCTCCGTGACAAAAAAAGAAGAAAATAGAAAGGTGTAATAATAGGGATGCAAAGGAGTAGGGGGGTGGGGAGCAAATATGGTGAAAATGATACCTTGGGTTTTGTGGAGGTTTTTTGCAGATACATGCCATACTGATCCCCTAAGTCTGTAGACAAGAAGTAGACCGGCTGCTACAAAGTAAGTGGCCAGGGCACATCTGATCCCGTCTTTGCTCAAAAACAAGTTCTGTAGTTTGCACAGATACGGTCCCCTTGCCGCGTACAACAGAATATTGTAAACCTTCAGCAAAATGCTCCAAACTGCGCTCTGTTACATCTCACACTACTTTATTAAATATGATCTTCCCTGTACACCTGAAACTCACGTCCCCAGAAGCTGTAAATGTTCAAGCTCCACTGGAGATTTTATAGAGCCATCTAATGTATCACTACCCACATGTTACTTACGGCAGTGTTTGGACTGCTGACCAGATGTGGATTTTCAGTATGCTTCACCTAAATGTTCAACCACGTCTTTCAAACATCTGTCGTTCTTGTGGTCAGAAGGGTGAAAATCTTATGTAGCTCAGCTTTCAGCAGAGAAACTGTCTGCCGTGCGTCTTCATTATTTTCACTAACCTTACAGTCTCGTTTTTGGAAGCGGTGACATTTATTAACTGTGGTCACATAATTTCCTTTTAACATTCCTCATCCGCATCCTGCCTCAAGTCACTTAACTGTCGTCGCCCGCGGTTTGACGTCATGGATTCACAAGTCGTATGTTATTCACGGTTCATTCAAAGCAATACTAAGCAATGTTCCAGGGCTGAACACAATGAGCACGCTGCCTTTTTTTATTAACCATCATACGTTTTAACATTGGGACTGTACCCTTGCTTAGATTTCCACCACGGCACGTAAACCGGAAAACGATGTATTTATTCCGTATTACTTGAAGGTGTCAGGCACCACCTTCTTTCGGAGCCAAGGATTTCTTACTCAACAAGGAGATAAATGACGCTTTGCAAATCACAGAGGCTTTTTTCCGAGCCCTGAGTTCTCCAGCCAATTTACTTCCACAGGGTGGTGGTGAGGACTGGCATTAATACCTGCACAAAATAACGGCATTTTTAGTCTGACGGAAGAGCAAACACTCAACATGCTAGGGAGAGAGTTTAAAAAAAAACCCAAACAAACAACAAACAAAAAAATACTCCAAACAAAGCAGAATAGCCACAAAAATCATGAGCCTTCAGTAGCAGCAAAAGGGAAAGGAAAAAAAAAAAGAGAGAGAAGCCTCACCACCACATAGTACACACTCCAGCAGCAGAAACTTAATTAGAATTGTAATTCA